TAAAACATCTTCCGAAACTGGGGCGAAATATGTATAAATTCTAAGCTTTTATAATCAACAGAAAACTTATGTTTGAAAATACCACTGTTCAATTGCGAAAACTCACCCAATCGCATGCAAAATCTTGGGCATGGCGTTGAGGAAAACCGGGGCGCAATCTCAACAGATTTCGTCTAAAACCTGTCCGAAAGTATCCCAAGATGCCCATAAAAGCAAAAAATATTCAAATAGGATATTGCCAATTTATGAAATGTCAAGCAAATGGTAAAATGTTCCTATCGGGTGCAAAACTGGAACAATCTATTTGCTAGGTTTTTTTTGCAATTTTCTTCCTTATCTGCTTATATTAGTTATTGCTGTTATGGCGTTCCGATTAAATAAATATTGGAAATGTGAAATCCGAAACTGAATTACAAAGAAGTATGTATTCATATATTGCGAATATATCGCAAGAATATGTATCTATGTGCATACATCTATTAATTTCATATAAAAAGAATAAATTACATTCAGTGCATTTCACAGTCTTATTTATAGATAATGTAAACAAAAACGCCTGGACTTCCACTTTGAAAACGTCGACATCCCTATTGGTTACCATTATTTGAGCCAATTTTTCGTATTGCCCGTATTACCGCTCGCGAAAACACAGAAATCGAGAAAATTCATTTATTATGACTTTTACAATCATGCACAGTATATTTTACTTAAATTTTTTATAAAATTTTATTATTTAAACCCACGAAAATAACAATTGAAACGTTCTCCGTCAACAAATTTGCAACTTAGAAAAACGGAGCTACGATCGAAATGTAGAATAGGTATAATCGTAAATTTCGAAGATTGATCGAAAGGAAACGGAACGCAGAATACCAAAGTTGCCAAACGGAGAAAATTTCGATTCGAGTCGAAATGCAGAATAGGGCTGAGTGATACGATTTCTGTGGAAAGCTCAGTTTTGCGACTTTTATTACTCTGTCTTTTCGATGTCAACCCGTAGGAGAAACAACCTTGGCCCGCTCCCATGACAGTCGGATCTACGAACCGGGACGACCCAGATTTATGTACATATATCTGGCCAAGGACAGGGAAAACTAAATCGTGGACGTTCTTAATCGAATATACTACATCTCTTTAGCAGAAAAAAGGCAATTCCCATAAAATCCGTTCCCTGATGATGACTTTTACAATCATGCACAGTATATTTTACTTACTTTTTTTTTATAAAATTTTAATATGTATATATATTTTTATATATAAACCCACGAAAATAACAATCGAAACGTTCTCCGGCAATAAATCAGCCCTATTCTGCATTTCGACTCGAATCGAAATTTTCTCCGTTTGGCAACTTTGGTATTNTCGAAATTTACGATTATACCTATTCTACATTTCGATCGTAGTTCCGTTTTTCTAAGTTGCAAATTTGTTGACGGAGAACGTTTCAATTGTTATTTTCATGGGTTTAAATAATAGAATTTTCTAAAAAATTTAAGTAAAATATACATATAGTATATATGATTGTAAGTCATCATAAATGAATTTTCTCGATTTCTGTGTT